AGAGAGAGAGAGAGAGAGAGAGAGAGAGAGAGAATTTTTATGATTAAATATTAATATATTTACATAATATTGTATTAGTATTACGATATTAAGTTGTGATAATTGTTATGTATGTCTGACTGCTGGGCAGTCTGGAATTCGCTGAGAACCAGTGGCAGTCAGTTTTTTCTAGGATACAGTTTTCAGCCAGAAATAATTAGTCGATCGATTGATCATATTGATTGACCAATTATTTCTAGTTAGGTTAAAAAGAATGCGAAAAAAAGAATTATGTAACTTTCCTAACGATAGGACCGCATTGCGGGCTAAGCACTTTGTCGATCCGTCTCCGCAGCGAGAGAAGAAATAAGAAGGTAGCGATTAAAAATTGCGATACGTAAAACACACATATACATACATACGCATATACATATACAATATCAGAGAAATGGATTGGCAATGTATTCACTACTGGTTCTGATAGGTTCTTGTAATTCGGCTGTGCCACCGGCGATACACATTCCATTGTAAAGTCTTGTGTTTCAGATATTGGAAATCAATCTGAGATCTTGGACAGAGAAAAATTGATCAGTTGTATTGGTCAAACTGGATCATCATATGGTCTGACCGAATTGTTTAAATGTATGATTTGTTAAATTTTTTTCTATCCGAGGTCTCGGAATGATTTCACCATTGTGAACACAAAGCTTTAACACCAGATCTACAATGAGTAGTCGGTAGTTGATAGTCTTAAAGTCTTAATTTAAATAAATGACTACGATTTTTCATATCCATAATAAATTATCAATTGTACAGCGAGTCGTTCGACTCGATCAATAGGAAGGAAAAAAAAATTAAATTGACTAGTTTTAAAAAATCGATAGTCTTAAATCATACAAGTTGACTGTGGTCAATTTCACAGATGTACCGAATAAGACTTAAGACTATCTACTACCAATTCATTGCTAAACCTGTACTAACACGAAGGGCGATGGGTGGACGCAAAGAGATGTATATGTATGAATTATGCCAAAAGAGAGCGAGAGAGAGAGAGAGAGAAGAAAAGGAGAGATAGGCTTGTAACATGTTAAACACGCTGACGTACTTAAAGATCGTTGGCACGCGTAACGGGCGACGACGGAGGACAGGCCCACGCGAATCGGAGGCAGTATTGTTTCTCGAGCTTCCAAGGTTTTGATTCTTAGTGCATCGACACACAAATTTATCGAGTGCTAATTGATCACCAAGCGATTCGCCGACGAACAAACAAGACAAACAAACCTATTACCTGCTCTCGGATGCATGGACGTACATTCACGTTGGATCTTCGCTGGCATCGTGCGATTTGCGGAGGCAAAAAAGGAAAAAGAAAAAATGTAAAAGACAATTCACAACTTTCGTGCCAAAAACATGTGTATATAATATTATAAAAGTAGGGATTATAAATATAAGACGGATTCGCCAGTTAATCGCGATGGCATTTAATGCGACGGATGTATGAGAAAGTAGTGCGCGTGGCGGAGTACTTTCTTAACATTAAGAATTTTCTTCGGAAAACGGGGATGTGGGGTGGGAACTCTTTTGAATTACACATTGCGTTGTTTCGTGTAAACGTTTAACAAAACAGAAAAAAAGAAAAAAAGCGGAGGACAGTGCGTATCTTTGATACGTGGGAAGTAACCGTGGAAGAACGATATAGGACTTCTTAGTACGCTTTTAGTACGCGCTGTGTGAACTTAGTTAATTACCTAATTAGACCTCTCTTGTGGATGTCTTCTTATGAAAATGATTATCAAAAAGAGAAAAAACCTAATAACTGGCAACCAAATTTGAACGGAGGCCGTCATGCCCGGATGATTGATTTGGCCTCCGGTATCACAACCTGCCAATGATGTCGGCTCAATTATTCATGTTATATCCGGTAGCGATGTGGATAATCTCATCGACGGCAGATTGGAGAGAAACGTTTGTTAATTTGACCAAACTATAGTATATTTGCTGTTGCTATAAAAATAGAGAAACAATAATAAGCTATGAACAATCTACGTATAATAAATCAATGTATGTGCTATAAGCTGGCTTATCCTTGATTTGAATTCTTACCTATCCAATGGACATCAACTAAATATCAAGAGACACGGTAGTGTCTCGCGCCAAGTGAACGCGAAGCGCGAGACCGCACCGTGTATCTTTACGCGAGTCGATACGCGAGTCGATGAGTTCCGTGTACCCGAGATTATCGGATCTCACAATAAATGGCTGAATTTATCAACTTTTAAATAGTAAGAATTTAGTTTTATTGTTTAAATTATATTATAAATATGTTTTTATTTTCTACGTACCCTACGAAGGAAGATATCTCGATGTGAAGTTGAAATGTCGAAAATTTTGATCGGAAATGTCCGTTTCACGTTTGAAACGACAGACGGCGCTTGCTAGCATATTTTATTTTATATCGATTAGCTGTCAACGTAATGACATTAGATATACATGGTGTAAGTACACCATGATTAGATAGATAAAAATCAGCGATGGGGCAAAGGAGGATTTGTGTATCCTGTTAAAGCAGTCAATGTCTTGAAAGCTCACGGAAAAGGTGTTCGAGAGTCGATTTTGGTTCTAGGCTATGCTTTGAACTGTACTGTCGCCTCTCAAGCAATGCCGAAGAGGATAACGAACGCGAAAATCGCATGCTAAAGCTACAGGTGCGCAATTTCTAACTTCGCTAACCAACATGGACGGAGAGGAGAGTTTTGATGCCAGTTTTATATAAATTTTCACGGAATTATAATTAGCACCTAAGATACAGCTCGATCAGTAAAGGCATTTTATTGGTTGTGTTTCTCACGGTCCTATAAGATTTAATATTTAAATATTGTTTCTTTTTTATTTTAAGGCCTTAGGCACGCACAGCGAGCCCTATTATTTTACGCAGACCAAACGATTATTATTACTGTGACGAAATGGAACGTTCCATACATGATGTGTTATGCGTTGTCAAGAGAGTCTTGGAAAGCAAGAGTGTCGTCGCAGGAAGTTTTTTTCTTTTTTCTATTTTGTTCTTTTTATATTTTATATATAGATTTATAAGAAATATTTAACATTACAAAATGCGTGATATCTCAACAAAATTACCTTTTTAAAAAAAGGAAAAAAAGGCGCCAATGTGCAAAAATGAAACGAAAAAATAAAATGAAACAAAAATGAAATGAAATCTTTTTAGATTGCGCCAAATTGTGGAAGGAATATATTTTCTTGCCATATATATAACATATACTTTATTTCAAAAAGTAAAAGTACAAAAAACTTGGCGCTGCTAGACCTCAAAATTAATAAGTGAATGTATACCTAATCCAATAGCATCTTAATTAATACTGTATTTTCTTACTTAAATCTTTTCATTATTTTTCATATTCGGAATTATTTAATAATCATCTTATTATTATATATTTTGTGGTCTAGCAGCGCCAAGTTTTTTGTACTTTTACTTTTTGAAATAAAGTATATGTTATATATATGGCAAGAAAATATATTCCTTCCACAATTTGGCGCAATCTAAAAAGATTTCATTTCATTTTTGCACACTTGACGCCTTTTTTTCTTTTTTTTAAAAAGATAGATTTTGTTAAGTACATTATTATATCAATGTTATAATTTTATATTCAATAATATATGATGCATACAATATTTGTAAAATTTTATTATTTTTCTCCATAATTTTTGTAATAGTCGGTTTTGACTTAAAAATTCTGATTAACTTAATTATTCTCTATGTATAATAATTATTATTGTTTGATTATATTCTTTGTATTATTTAACATAAAAATGAAAAAGAAATAAGAGATTCGTTTACAATGAATTATAGAAGTTTGAAATTTTATTGCAATCATTCCTATCAGCGTAAATTAATTTAATTAAGAAGTCTATTCTGTAACTTTTAACAATTGCAATTTTGTAATGTTACAGTCGTTAAGAGTTAGCCCGGTTCTACAATAGATTTTTAAACCTTATACTATAAGAAATGGATGAATTACAGTTGATTATTCTCCTCGTATTTGACTAT